GGGGGCTGGTTTTACAACGTCTTTGCCAAGCGACGAAAACCCAACCCCGATGGCAAACACCGGGGGGGAGGGAGGTGTACTCCGGGGGGAGGGAGGTGTACTCCGGGGGGAGGGGTGTGGTATATCAATTAGGGCTAGCAGTAAAAAAAACAGTGATGTCTCTGCTCTTGTGCTTCGCTTGTTNGTCGAGCCCCTTCCATACGTCCTCTACAACCTTGACCCATTCCGTGGGGGGGCTGGTTTTACAACTTCGTTGCCAAGCGACGAAAACCCAACCCCGATGGCAAACACCGGGGGGGAGGGAGGTGTACTCCGGGGGGAGGGAGGTGTACTCCGGGGGGAGGGGTGTGGTATATCAATTAGGGCTAGCAGTAAAAAAAACAGTGATGTCTCTGCTCTTGTGCTTCGCTTGTTGGTTCGAGCTTTGATCGAGAAATATCAAAAGCGTTCAAGCGTGTGATGGGTAACCAGGCTAGCACGGGAGGCACTGGTCGTACACAAGGCCTTCGCGCACAAAAGTGTAGAGAGGCGTACAGCAGTACATGTCGCACCAATGGTGGTGCGTAGCAGCGTCTGTGTGTTGCTGGTGTCATGTGCCCCTCTCCGCGGAAAGAGAGAGAGAGAGGCCGCTGCTGCTGCTGCTGCTGCTGCTGCTGCTGCAACCAAATGTTGATCTCTCCTCTCGCTTCCTCCGCCGATAGCTAACAGCAGCAATGTATGGCACACCCTTCTCCCGCCGTCTCGCCCTCGCTGTGGTCTGTGTCTCCCTCTCCCTGTTTGTCCATGTCTGGCTCTGTGTGTATGGTGTGTGGTGTGCGAGGCTATCTGTCTTGGTTCAAAATCAAACGACGCCTCCTCTCGGTGTGGCAAGGGGCCAGAAACTTCCCTGCTTCAAGCTGGGTACCGACTCTGCACTATCTCGACGCACCGAGCACGGATTGAAAAGGTAGCAGGTGGGGCAGCTCGGGCAAAATATTACTTGTTGTGAAGACGTCTTGGATTGCAATTTGGTGCCAAGATGGTGAAATGGGCTGGAATCTGCTGGGTAATATATCGAGGCTGGTCACAGACAACAGACAGACACAGACAGACAGACAGACAGACAGACAGACTTACTTGAGCCCGTTTTGCCCCCCCCTCTAAACAGTTTTTTTTTTTTAAACAAAAGGCGTCCCTATCGGGCCACTTTTCTTAAAAAATAAAACTGCTTCGTATGAAAAATAAAATTCAACACGCACCGCAGGAGGAAGGTGGGGCATGAAAAGAAATACAACGAAGAAAAAGTCCTGGTGTTTACCCCCTCCTGTGTGACCCTGGATGGTTGTAGTCGTACGAAAAAATGCACTGAAAAGTGTAGTACACAACATACGCTGAAACGTGTAGTACACATCTCACCATGAAAAATGGGGGGACTGTCACCATAATAAATAGGACGAAAACACACAACACACACAGACTACGGTGAATCCTGTTATCAGTAGAGGACGCCATGAAAGTGGCGTTGTGTATGCTGGCACCTTCAGGTTTGCTGCTGAGCTGAAATATCGGCAGAGCACCCAAAAATAGGGCAATTAATTTGCAAGACACGGAAGAACTTCCTACAATTATACAGCAGTCGACCCCGCTGTAAGGACGCTCGTGGTAAGGTATCTCCCCGCTTTAAGGAAACCTTTCTTTCTGAGCACCAGGGGGCCCGGCGGAATGTACGATAATGGGGCACCCCCATTATTTCTGCCGCGTATCCCCTTTGTTGTGTCCTACGGGCCGCTCGTTGTACGCAACACGCACCACAGTGAGAGCAGAAGTATCGACGCACAGAAAGCAGAAGTAGCGAGCGGTCTGCTGCTGCAGCTGCAACTGGGTGTTCATATGGATAGATTCCTCCCATCTACCGGCGGTCCATCTAATGCCGCCAAAAAAACATGTGGAGAACCGACGTGTACGATGAGATCTCTACTTATCGCCGCAGTCCACCAGTGCCCATGCGGGTGGCCGATGCATGCCTTCTGTGACCGAGGAATCGGTGAGGAAGGCTTCGGGCAGCAGAGGGAGTGCCGAGATTGTCAGAGGAGAACGACTACAGGCAAGATCGGCACCGGCACAAATCCCATGGAGGTGGACAGCAGTAGCGACAACGAGGACATGAAAAGCAGGTGATGATCGTGATTTACAGCAGCAGCAGCAGCAGCAGCAGCAGCAGCAGCAGCCATCGGCCGAACGCGTGCTGTTGAGCTGTTGAGCAGGAAAGCGTGCACCACGATGTTACCTGTACATTGCATGTCATTGCCTTCGTCTAATTCTTGTCAAACAACAGCAGTGTGAGCATGCCAGGAAAACTCACTGAGATTGTCCGCACAAGGCTACGTGTGTGTGTGTCTTTTTTTTTTTTAATGATAAAATATCGTCAATATGTGTCGGTGTGTGTGCAATTGTAGTGAAGCGTCAATAACCAAGTGAAGACTCTCGCTACTGCTGTGCTTCTTTTGGCAGGCAACTTGCGCCTGATGCAGTTCGCATGCCGCGCTGCCGAAGTGATTCTCGTTGCTCAACGCTGATAGAAAGTGAACTTTTGTACGTCCAGAGGACTCTGGTTTTTCCGGTTCGCACTTGAAAAACATACAAAATACACGCAGTCGTGATATTCTATAGTCTTATTTTTATTCAGCGTAAATTGTAGCTGCTGGCCTGCGTGCAGTCGCTTGGCGGTAGGTGCGAGCACTCTCGTTCTCCGGAAAATAAGCGCATGTTGTGTTGGGCACAACGGCATTTTTTCTGACGTGGGTGTATTTGCCAACAACCTGCCCTGACACGTCACAGTTCCCTCGTCTCTTGCAAATTTTTCGAGCAGGACGAGGCAACCGGCTGGGGGCAAAGAGTCAGAGACTGCAAGGAAGGGGAAACGGCCTCAACGCACCGCAGGGAGGACGCAGGTGCCGCGGGGCTGGTCGGCGGAGGCGCCGCAGGGTACGGTACAGGTAGAGTCGCCAAAAAAGTCCGGGTATCCAAGCCCGGACAGGACACGGGCAAAAACAAGTTATTGATGACGCAGCGATTGCAGATTGTCAAGGAGGTCCAGGGGGGGGCTAAGTGGAGCATGGTTGCTACAGAGTGGAACTTCGGTACTTCGTACATACAGCAAGTTGATGAACCCGGAGAAAATCGCTGAGCTTGAGAAAGTCCGCAACATGGAGCTCAACAAGGACGCCCTTCGCGCCTCGAAGCCGGTACACGACGAAGCGGAAGAGAAACTACGCAAGTGGATCAAGATCGCACGAGCACGCTTTAACGTAAGTACATATTTTGCAATAGTCATGTGTTGGTCAGGATACACTTGTTTGTCTATACGCCTACACCCTTCCGCCCCTACTCTGCCTCCCATTCTCGACCAAGCTGCTGGGTTGGGGGTTCGACAAGCTCTTGTCCACCTCTTTCAAGCTGGCCGACTGAACGCACAACCAATTCAAGGGAGAGTTGATCGAAACCATGTCGCTGCCGTTTATGTTTGTGTCTTTCCCAACCAAGATTGGCGCGAGTGGTTCGATGATCCAGGCCCAGGCCTTGAAGATCGCGGCGTAGATGGGGAAGACCAACTTCAAGGCGACCAACGGCTGGCTACATCGCTTCCTGAAACGCTACAGCTTCACTCGCGTCCAATTGCCCGGAGAAGCTGGCGACGTGGACAAGCAGAAGGTGGCAGAGGAGATCGAGAGGAAGCGATGTAGTTCGACGTCGAGTCCATTTTCAACGTGGACGAGACGGGACTTTTCTTCCGCTGCTTCCCGAGTGGTACATAGTCACGAGGGGGGAGGCCGCCGCCGACGTCAACAGCAAAACCGTGCGGGGTTCGAAGGCCATGNGCGACCAACGGCTGGCTACATCGCTTCCTGAAACGCTACAGCTTCACTCGCGTCCAATTGCCCGGAGAAGCTGGCGACGTGGACAAGCAGAAGGTGGCAGAGGAGATCGAGAGGAAGCGATGTAGTTCGACGTCGAGTCCATTTTCAACGTGGACGAGACGGGACTTTTCTTCCGCTGCTTCCCGAGTGGTACATAGTCACGAGGGGGGAGGCCGCCGCCGACGTCAACAGCAAAACCGTGCGGGGTTCGAAGGCCATGAAGGCCAAGGATCGGTGCACGGTGGTCCCCTGCTGCAATACGACCGGGTCTCTGATGGTGCCGTTGGCCGTCATCAGCACGTCGAAAAACACGATGATTTTCCGCCACGTCCGCAAACCGCCATGTCCCTACTTCGCCCAGGAGAGTGCCTGGCTCGACGCAGCCATTTGCCAGCGGTGGTTTGACGAAGTCTTTGTTGCCTTTGTCAAAGGCAAGACCTCCAAGAAGGTGGCCCTCTTGTGGGACAACTGCCCCGGCCACAAGATCAACAGCAACGACCCGCAGATCTTCATCATGTTCTTGCCTCCGAACGTCATTTCTGTCTACCAGCCCATGGACATGGGCATCCTGTTTGTACTCAAGTGCCAGTACAGGAACGAGAAGATGGCAAGGCTGGCAGACCTCATCGAGGACTGGGACACAGTCCGTGCACGAAAAATCCAAAGGTGAATTCAAAACAACAATGTGGGGGCGCTCTTTGTCACCGTCGTCGCAGGTCTTGCGAAGGCTCTGAAAATGGTGTCCTTTCAACTTTTTTGTCGAGCTGGTTTAAACCTTAGCCCTTTCTTCCGTCCCTGTGTTTCGTTTCGGCAGAGGGTGCCAGGGCTTCAGCGATGCAGGACAGGCGACAGTGCTGGACGTCACGGAGATCTGTTCCCAGAAGTGGCGTAGCTTCGACGTTCAGACGGTCATCAGGTGCTGGCTCAAGGCTGGCATCCTTCCCACGGAGCACTGCAACGTTCCCAAGGGCATGGACACTCGGCTTGACCGAGAGGACAAGGGCGACGTGGCAATCATCGACGGCCTTTGTGACATGGTCTCAAAAATGTCGATGCCAGCTAGCATAACGGACTATTAGGTCCATGCCGCGAGTGTTGACGGACAATTCGTTTGTCGAGAAGGGCACAGACCTCACAGAGCAGGATGTCCGAACGGCGGTCAAGACGTGGCTTACGGTAGAGGACGGGTGTTAGAAGAGGAGGCGGAGTTAGAACTGCAGGCAGCAGAGAGGGATCTCGCCGGCTTAGAAATGGACGACGACGTATCGAGCGAAGAGGGCGACGGCGACGGCAGGCCGGAGTCGTGCATTTCCTCGTCCCTCACCGAGGGCGAGGTTTCGCTCGCTTGGAGGACGTTCGATCCTATTTGTACGCGAAGAGAAGGGGTGGCGAGTACCGTGAGACGCAGTACCTTGTTTCGAAGACCGTTCATTCGTTTACTCATGAAACTCAACAGAGCCGTAGAGCCAGTCGCGGGGGGAGGTTCAGGGAACTCTGCGCGATATGTGGAGGGAAACGCCGTCAGGGTAGCTTGGTCGCCGCCGGACAGTCATGTGTACTGGTGTTCCTCGGTGCGACGCTGAAATACGCTCGTTTTTTTTGTGTTTCATGAGAATGAGAAGTATATTTCTACTTGGATTTTCCTCCTTCTTCCGCTTCCAGCGAAGCAGTGCATTAGTTAGCCAAGTTCAAACTTGTGTACTGTTGGTAGTTGTGTTCGACACGGCCCCGACTGCTGTACATCTCATTTGAAGTATTGTAAATATGTTCGACGTCAACAAACGGTTGCCATTCGTCTCGGCGATGCTGACTTTTCGTACCACCCCCTTCCTTATCAAAAGACGCGTAGATTGAGGTATAGCATGCCTTCATTGACCCCGGAGATGGTGAACTATCGTCCCCTGAATTTTAAGGACGCAACCCCGATTTGAGGACGCTTTTTTCGGGAAAAACCATGTGCGTCCTTAAAGCGGGGTCGACTGTATGTTTTAGAGAGGTAGAGCCGGGTAGATACCCATCTCCCACCAATCACCCGTCGAGTTTGAGAGACATTTTGTAAGACAGAGACAGATGATTGGGTAATGGGCACGACGTTCTCGGCAGAATCACCGAAATCCTTTTGCACAGCAGCATCACACACATCACGCAGGCAACATACGAGACAGCCAGCACAGCAGTGTACGGACTGCTGTAGGCCAAGGGTAGTCAAAGGCACACATCATGGGAGGCGTTATGTAGGACTCTTGCAGCCCGTTGCCTGCTGTCGGCAGCACACGCGAGTGACGACGCAAGTCAATCCGCGGTCCGTCTACATCACCCTCAACCTACCGATATTTGGAGCTTCCCGCACAGACGCATCCCCACAACAGAGACGAGGCCTACACACTGCTGAAGACCAATGCCGGCCAAAGGTACAGATCGTGGCTGGCGTCGGAATCTATTTTTTGACCCCGAGGGCTGCTGCTATAATAGCAGCGTAAGCAAGGGGATATACGAGTGCACACAAGTGAGATCTCTGTCTGCGGCCCCTTCGTCTCCCGGCCGATCTTTGCTTTCACAACAGACGCACCCCAGAAACAGAGACGAGTGAGACGTACACAGCGCTGTAGGCCAAGAGCGGCCTTTTACACACGTCGTGGGAGGGGTCGGGGCCAATTTTTAGAGCCCGTTGCCCTCTGCTATTTAGTAGCGAAAGCGAAGAAAGCAAGTGCGCACCCATGCACAGCAGTAGCAGCAGCAACAGCAGCAGCACTGCTTCCGCTGAGCTGATGATGATGATGAGAGCTAAACAGCGCTCCCATTCATCCCCCGGCTGACTGGTGGTATCGGGTGAGGTATGAGCGTGCGCACTGGTGGCCTACGTGGTGGCGTAGGCTCCATCCATATCCATCTACGCTTGCTTTGATGTCTCTCTCCGTTCTTTCGCGCTTCGCGCGAAATAGTTCTTTTTTTTTGTTGGACCCCTGTGCATGGGAGGGGAGCCGAAATATCGAAGGTCGCAGCAGCCTGTGGAAGCAGTCCGTAATCTGCGCCGGCACTTGCCGGAACAAGCATTTATCACAGCCATGCTCACCGCCACGGACAGGCAGCAGTAGCTAGTGGCATCAGCTCCTGTTGTAAACCCGCCGTTCAGGAGATTCAGTGGCGGCCACAAGCAGTACAAGACACGGGTGTCGGTCCAATTTGCGGAGATTGTAGACCGCTGCGACGCTACGACGACCCTCGATATCACCACCCAACAAGCTGATTTGAGCGCGCCGACACCCCCCTCAATGGTGCAGGGTGTCCTCTTGTGATATCAGTATTCACCCCACGTCGGCGTGCAGAACTGACCTTTTTGTGCGCCTGCCGTTCTGGCTCTTTTGACTTGTGTTTGGACTGGTGCGGAGTTTTCAAAGGAGGCGATTGGAGGTAGACTGCATGTTATGCATGTTAAGAGCCGCCTCTGCTGTGGACCTGTGCGAGAATCAACGATTTCTTCTTTTCTCGATGCCTTCCCGCTTGCCTTGTGTATCTGGTGTACGTTTTCTGGCACCCTTACGTTACTGGGTTAATTGGAATGCTATGTATATATTTTCCCACATGGCTCTCTGTGGTCAAACATCGTCCATGCATGCGCGGGTGAATGTGAGGGTGACGAACAGGAGTACAGCAGAATTCGTTCTGTGGAGAGAAAGAATTGACGGCAGCAGTAGTTTCTGAGCAGGTAGGTGTGCATGCATGTCTCCGACAGCAATCATCAGCACAGAGGATGTATCTGTGCAAGCAGTACCTGTTGGCACATCTTCTCCGCCTCATCCTTGGACAGAGCATACGGCGAAAGGCGCATATGCTAGCCGCGCTAGATGCGAAGACGCTGACGGGAATCCGCTTCACAGAAGCGCCAGATCGATGAAAAACACTACGGCCCACTTAGAAAATCGAGACCATCACCCTCCATCGCGCAACATGCATAAAAAACGTGAACCATTTTGCAATCCTGAACTAAAAATAGAGAACTGTGATCGGAGATGTAGGGTTAGGTAATCTGGGAACCACACGCACTGCAATCACAATATCAAACACCGAGGCAGTACGTTAGCATTGGCTCCGGTGTGCGTTTTCCCTGCTTTCCCCCGCGGATGTGGCACCGTGTCGATCACATGTCGAGGGTGTTGCATGCACCCTCCGGTGTTATTTTGCGTTTGAATCTTACAACAGTACCGGTAGGCAGTAGATTGGATCTGGAAAGGGTACTTGCCCCGCTTCAAAGAGCTTAGGCATGGTGAATAGTATTGTGTGTCCTGTGCGTATTGCTGCTAAGCGTGCTTATGGGGTGAGCTGCCGCTTTTTCTCCGTTCTGGTCTCTACGTATGTTTATTGCTCTTATTCGAGGCACAGGGACGTATCCCCATACATAATATATATATATTTTTTCCATATATTTTTCCGTCGTGTCACTCGCCGCCCGCCTCTTCGCAGTGCCCCCCGAAAGTGATGCTGTTGTCGCCGTAAATTAGTCATCTGGTGACGCATTAGTAGTTGCCTGTTTCGTTGTTGTCCGGGTAGACTGGAGCGTTTGCACCGGGTTGCGTTGCTTTTTGTTGCCTTCGTCTTCCTCTGTTTTGTTCCTTTTTTGTTTTTCCGTTCTTTCATCCCTTTTGATCGGGGTCGATCGCCTGTATCCCGGTTATTAGCTTGATATGTTTCGTTTGGGTATAAAAACAAATCGCGCCCCGGAGAACTCTTCGGGTTCATTTTTAGTTTCTTATTTCTAGAAAGGTGTACCCCGCTTTAGGGGCAGTTGACTTGTGACCACGGACGGCGTCCGCGTCAGCTGGATCATTACGGACATTAGAAAGTACTGAGCGGAGACCGGAACGGTTTTTATTGTGAAACATCAACAACAACACCGGCGATCTTTTGGCACGCAAAGTAATCGGAGCTGAGAACGGAGCTGAATCGGCTTGTAGTCACTTAAGGGTAAGCCGATTGTCTTTAAAGCGGGGAGGGGGGGGTGTACTCATAGTCGTGCATGCCGTAGTATTTAGACCATTGACCTCGCATCCCTACAAAGCCGGGACGGAGCACGCCGGGTTCTCACCGGACCAGGCTCTCACATCACCAAGCGCGAAGCGCCGTGAGATATTCGGCGAGTCGCATGAAGGGTGCGCTGCATCCTGCTAAGGGTGTTCGGCATCTTGTGCTTACTTCCTTGCGTACGGATGACAGCTGCGTATGAATTAATTTATTTTCTGGTGCTTTCACTTCCAGAGACAGTTGTAAGCACTGTGTAACTGCCTCGAGGGTGCTTGACCATTTTAACACAACGTGGTGCGATCATCCCCCTTGCGCGGAGTGAGGGTTCACCCCGCACAACATGATCTACTCGACCACCATTATGGTTACCGCCAAAAAAAAATAAACGGAGGAAAAAAAAAAAAACGGTAACCTGGTTGCCGAGTTCACGAAGTGAATTGGCTTGTTTTACAACGTCGTTGCCAAGCGACGAAAACCCAATCCCGATAGGCAAACACCGGGGGGGGGGGGGTGTACTCATAGTCGTGCATGCCGTAGTCGTTAGACCATTGACCTCGCATCCCTACAAAGCCGGGACGGAGCACGCCGGGTTCTCGCCGGACCAGGCTCTCACGTCACCAAGCGCGAAGTGCCGTGAGATATTCGGCGAGTCGCATGAAGGGTGCGCTGCATCCTGCCAAGGTTTTCGGCATCTTGTGCTTACTTCCTTGCGTACGGATGACAGCTGCGTATGGCTTCATTTATTCTCTGGTGCTTTCACTTCCTGAGACAGTTGTAAGCACTGTGTAACTGCCTCGAGGGTGCGTGACCATTTTGACACAACGTGGTGCGACCATCCCCCTTGCGCGGAGTGAGGCTTCTCGACCCCGCATAACATGATCTACTCGACCACCATTATGATTCCCGCCACAAAAAGAAACAGAGGTAATAAAAACACCCGGTAACATGGTTGTCGA